AGTGTGCTTACCATTCCGACAGTGCTGGGCACGATACCAATAATTGATGGGCGCTTAAGAACAAAATCCAGGACTTGATTGATGCCAAAGAAGTAGAATTTGAGGCGCCTGAGAAGCCCAATGTAATATTTGCTCCGATGCCCAAGCACGGTAATAATATTCATGCTGTTATGGAGGATACTCATGTTACCGATGTTGTTAACCTGTTGACACCGTTACGTGTGATTAAGGAAAATTTGTTGAGAGTCGGGATCTTTCCTGGTTGTGATAAAAATTGTTACTTTTGTTTGAACGTACGAGGTGATTGCCCAATGTTGAAGTCAGGTGTCCAACGCCTGATGGATACCTAAGAGATACTTTTCCAGAAAACCCCTGTTGATACCCTCAATCCTGTTACTCCTGATACTTTTGCTATTACAACCAACGATATTGCAATCATAACCATTTCCGACAATCCTCCCAAGGTTTGCAAAAGGCCTGTCAGGATTACACCTAACTCTGAATGTGTACCATTAAAGATCACCATGCCGGGACTTGTCCCGTACCAATCAAGCAAAACGATACCATGGAACTATGGGGGAGAAATCTTCTACCATGGTGTCAAACAAATTGAGACAGTCCAAGAGATTTCTGAAGAAGAAAGCCCTGATATAGGGAACATCGCGGGTACAAGCAAGATAACCCGCAGTGGCCGGATATTTTCTCCGGAGATTGCCCCCCCCCCCTCGAAAGCTTCTGCACCTGTTGGACCATCTGTGCAAGGCCCAGTGATTGAAGAACTAGATACTCCTGAAGTAAGACCATCTGCTGAAACTACCGACAAGGTTAAGGGGATACTAGAAGTGCCTGTCAGGACGAAGGACCATGCTGTGGTTATCCCCGAAACCACTCAGAAAGAAATGGATGAAATCTTGAAAGTAATCAGAAAAAGTGACTACGAAGTTGTGGAACAGTTAGGGCAGACCCCTTCTAAAATTTCAATGTTGGCTCTTCTGCTCTGTTCTGAGGCCCACGCTAAGGCCCTGATCAAATTCTTGAAGGCGGCACATGTTCCCCAAGAGACTTCGGCTGACCAGTTTCAGGAATGTGTGGCCAGTCTTACTGCTGATAATGGCCTTGGCTTTTCCGATGCTGACTTAACTCCCAAAGGAAGGAAACACAACGATGCGTTACATGTTTCAATTGAATGTCGAGGAACCACTCTCGCCCATGTCTTAGTTGATACTGGTTCTTCCTTGAACGTGCTGCCAAAGAAAGCCTTAGACCGCTTGGACTGCGAAGGACTGACTCTCAAGCCTAGTAACATCATTGTTAGAGATTTTGATGGTTCCAAGAGAATGGTTCATGGAGAGGTTGATATTCCTATCAAAGTAGGCACAGAAGTCTTCAACTCAACCTTTTACGTGATGGACATCCGTCCGTCATATTCATGTTTGCTAGGAAGACCGTGGATCCATTATATCGGGGCAGTTACCTCCTCTTTGCACCAGATGCTGAAATATCCTGTTAAGGGTAAAATTATAACGGTGCACGGCGAGGAAGAATACATGATAAGTCATCTCAACTCCTTTCGCTATGTGGAGTTGGATGGCGAGTTCATCGAAACGCCTTTCCAGCATTTTGAGGAAGTTTCTCCCGAGGTAGCAGTTGCGAAGACAATGGTTGAGGTGCCTATCGTTCCCATGCATGTATCTAGGATGGCATCACTCAAGGACGCAGAGGCGGTGATCAAAGAAGGGAAGAGTACAACATGGGGGCAATTGCCTGATTTTCCCCATAAGACGGAAAAATTTGGACTAGGGTTTACAGCTGCAGGATAGAAGGCTATGTGTCGTTCCAAGACTGGAGGGCCACCCATAAGGATCACTCATCACGGAATCAATGTTGTAGAAGATGAAGATGAAGAGAGCCACTTTGAAGATTGGATCTTTCCAACTGTCGAAGGGGGTTTGAGCAACTGGGAAGCAAAGTATTTTGTTCCCATCACCTTTATCCACCAGTAATTTTATCTTTGAACAATTTCCCATTTTTATGGTCTGTAATAACTAAAACAATTTGCACAATATTTTCACCTCATGCCTTTCCCGGGGCATGTAGGTCCATTTGTAAGGGCTTGGTTTTCTTCATAATCATATGCCATGTTTTAATGAATCATTGGACGTTTTTCATCTATAAACTGTTCATTTTCTTTCCTTTTTCATTTTTGTTTGTTTAAGGATGGCTATCTCTTACACACACCCACACTCGCAAATGCAGGTACCCATCCATTCCGGATTCCATGGGCAACTGTTCTGCTTCAGCCTTCGATAACTCTGAGGATTTGGTCAATCACACTGAGTACGAAATTGATGAAGATTGTGAAGTGTCGGGAGAGTTAGCCAGACTTCTACAACAAGAAGAGAGGGCCATTCTGACTCATGAAGAGTTGCTAGAAACCATCAACTTGGGTACAGAGGAAGACAGGAAAGAAGTAAAAGTGGGTGCCAACCTGGAACCAAATGTCAAGGAGTGCTTAGTGCAATTATTGAACGAATATGTTGAAATCTTCGCTGGTCTTATGAAGACATGCCAGGGTTAGACACAGATATCGTGGTTCACCGTCTCCCTACAAGAGAAGATTGTCCATCGATCAAGCAAAAGGTGCACCGAATGAGGCCTGACATGTCTGAGAAAATTAAGGCTGAAGTAATGAAGCAATTCAACGCTGGCTTTCTGGCTGTTACCTCATATCCACAATGGTTTGCTAACATCATGCCCGTACCTAAGAAGGACGGCAAAGTCAGAATTTGTGTGGACTATCGGGATTTGAACAGGGCTAGCCCTAAAGATGATTTTCCACTGCCACATATCGACATCTTGGTTGATAACACAGCTCAGCACAAGTTTTTTTCCTTCATGGATGGATTCTCGGGCTCCAACCAGATTAAAATGGCCCCCGAGGACATGGAGAAAACTACCTTTGTCACGCAATGGGGTACCTTCTGCTACAAAGTGATGCCGTTTGGACTGAAGAACGCAGGAGCAACCTATCAACGCGCCATGGTAGCTCTATTTCATGATATGATACATCATGAGATCGAAGTTTACGTAGACGACATGATAGCTCAATGTTGCACCCCAAAATTTGCCCTCCTAATTTCCTTTATTTTGGCTTAGACTTTTGCATTCATCTGCATCTTTTTCATTAGGTCACTAACATGGCATACATTTCATTCAATATAGCTCTGAGGTTCAAAGTTCAGTGGTTGTGCGATACTAGGGTTTCATAGTGGTTAAGGCGCTCATATCCAATAAAGGACTTCTTCTCCCTCAAGCAGCAAGGCTATTATCTTCTGATAAACAACCGATTGTAGGTCATTCTGGTCAAGAACTCTAGGACGTGACCTAGCATATGTGGGCTTCGAATCATGACGTCCTTTCCTATAAGTATGCTTGTCATTTGATTAGGATTAATGACTGTGACATGACAATCGTCTACTCCCCAGTTAATCAAATTAGGTTTTGTTGAATCATGGTTCAAAGATGTTTTATCCGGATATTTCTTTGTGCGTCTGAACGAGGAATCAAGATTGTGAGGGTTTCACATCAAGGGAATTCTTCCGTGATTCAGACTTTATCATCCATTTGTAAGATGTTCCTTATGACACTAATCTCAAGTTGAAATAACCGATCGCTAAGGGCTGAGGACTGAATTGTGAAGCGTGGTTCATGACCTAAGATATGAATTCATAGATTTCTCCTTAACCAAGGCCATCATTGTCTTCATCATTGTCATTTGTTATCTGCGATGTGAGTAGGTTTGGATTGAAGTAGGTTTCCCATAGAAGAATTCATGCAAGGTAATTCAAGGTTCAAGGCATTCAAGGCAAGGTTGTGAATTTTTAGGATCAAGATCTTATTGACTATTCAAATTATTTGTCATTCAAGTTGATTTGGGTTCAAGATTTAAGTTAGGAGTTCGTTGAGAATGCAAGTGTGATTTGGATTTGAAGTTTGATTTGAGTTCAAGATGTTCGAAAGTGTTTGATTGGATTAAAGTCGGCAAAGAGTCTTAAGTATTGTTCATATGGCTTTCTTGGAAGGTAAAGTGCAGACTGCGAGGTTTTGTTTCAAGTCAGAGTTCATACGCATTACAAAGATGTTCACCGTTATTTCATATTCAAGTTCACAATGCATTCAAACATTTATTCAAGAAAATACTATCCAATTCCGTTCAATTTCATTCTCATTCATGGCTCAAGAAAATACTATCCAATTCCATTCAATTTCATTCAATTGTAACAACACCCCACAAGAAAATTTGATGCTTTCATATCTTCAAGCATTTTTCAAGACTTTGTCATTTAAACTCCGTCCAAAAAAAAATCCATCACCCGACATTTCAAGCTCAAAGTCATTAATAATTCACACTATAAATTTCAAGTTCATCCAAATCAAACATTCATTATAAAATCATTACAATCCCATTACACCAATATTCTACAAAAAAAAAACTATTACAAAATACACTTGAACAAAATTCTTTAGTCCTAAAGGTGCTCAAATTCCCTGAGTAAGCTTCTAATTCCATGCCATGCCAAAGTTCTTCATCTTCAGTTCATGACCTGCACATTCATATAAAAAAATCCAAGTCAATACAAGCAATCATGCCAAAATATCCTATGCTCATACAAATTATTCGACACATGAAAAACCATTAATTAACCCAAACCAAATGCTAAACACATATATGGAAACAAACCAAAATGAAGTTTTACTAATTATGATTCCACCCTGATACATCCCCAAAATCCCAGAAACATTCATTTTGAGTTTTTGATGTTACGGCTGGCTTGTAGATTGTAGCAGGGGGTGCGACACAACGCAACCACGCCATTCGGCAAACAAACCTCTTCACTTAATTATGATTCCCGATCTATCTACTACTCTCACTTTCACTCCCTTTTTTCTGGTTGAGTCTTTTCAACAAACACCTTCTTCCCCATCTCTCCGAGGCTACCATGTTCCGGAGGTTCATTTTGGAATTTTCATCTCGACAAACGTTTAGAAGAAACCCCAGACATTTTGTTCATCAGAAGATACCTTCTCATCTATCTTCGCGAAAGGAATTCTCAAATGCATCTAGACCATCTTCGCAAAAGGAATTCTCAAATGCATCGAGACCAGCTGGTGCCTCAGCTCCTGGTTCTACAGGAAAGCCGCCTGAGTCTCATGGTTCTCGATCAAAGTTTTAATTGGAAGTACTGCTATAAGTGCTGCTCTTTTGGCTGCTTATCAATTTGGTTTCTTAGATAAATAGCTTGAGAAGGAGAAGCTTAGTGACCCTCAGGAAGTTCTGATAGACGATGCCATTGGAGATTTGAAGAGTGGACAACTTACAAAAGAGGAGTTAGTTTCACCCAGTCATGAAAAGTCTGACAATGAAAATCCTGATGTAGAGCATGCAAAGCAGAAGGTTGATACCAGTCTTTCTCAGCCAGAAATTATAATAGAAGATTCGAGTGATAAACAGATTCCCGTGCAAGACATTCCTGATATTGCTGAAGGTCGTAATGCTGGTGCCAAAGAAAACCAGTTTCTTGAATATCCTCAAAGTAGTCTAACATCGAATGATCCTAGTAAAGGGACTGTGGTGCAATCTGATGTGATTGTTGGCATAAAAAGCACAGAAACCGATGTTTCCCTAAAACCGGAAGAGGAAATCCAACATACATCAACGTCTACTGAGAACAATGCATTTCTAGATGAGAATAAGGTAGAAAATATTCAACCAAAGCAACAGGAAGAAATAGAGGAAAGAAGTGAGAATGTATTAGCTAAAGATATAGAACAACCACCTACCCTCCTTGAGGAATATCACTTAAGGAATAAGTCAGAAGGAAGCCCCCTTATTTATTTACATGGTCATGACTTTACCGAGAACAGTCATTTACCTGAAGAAAAAGAGGCACTTAGTGGTGCAATAGAGGACTTGAAAGATGGTTATGCCACTTCTAAGGATGGAAAACTGGTTATTGAATTCGTACAAGCCATCCATGCTGCGGAGAAAAGGCAAGCTGCAATAGATGCACATGCTTTTTATGAAGAGAAGAAAACATTAAAGGAAAAATATGAAAAGAAGTTAAAAGATTCAGCTGCCAGAGAACTTAAGCTTGCCGAGGAATCTGCAATGTTGGACAGGGAGCTAAAGAGAGAGAGGGAAAAAGCATCTCTTGCTATTAAGTCACTTTAAGAAAAGATGGACGATAAACTAAAGATAGAACTTGAACAAAAGAATATCGAAGCAGAATTAAAGTTGAAGACAGTCCAGGAGTTAGCACAGGCAGAGTTAAATGCAGCCATAGCAAATGAGAAGGCATCCCAACTTGAAAAAATGTCTGAAGCAAATATTAATATAAATGCCTTGTGCATGGCATTTTATGCTCGACCTGAAGAAGCTCGTCAAAGTCATGCTGCACAAAATTTTGCTTTGAGAGCACTTACACTCGAAGATGCATTGTCAAAAGGATTGCCAATTTAGACGGAAATAGAATTTGTGCAGTCTTATCTTGAAGGCATAGATAAAGATTCAGTTCTGGATTTGGTGCTAGCGTCCCTTCCTGAAGAGACAAGAAACAAAGACCTTGACACAATCTGATGCAAATAATGGTGGTTTCGCTTGTCCTAAGAATTGTACAGAAATAACTCTTCCTCAATCACCTTACGCTGCTGATCTAGCATGGTCTGACTCCCTTTGGAAAATTCTGCAGGTTACATGGGATGATCTTGATTTAGTTACAAATACGAAGAGGCTGAACCCCCCTAGCGATTTTCTAAAAGATTGTTAACCTCCATAACTGCTAACCAATTATAACTGAATTTAAAACTCTCAAACTGTAACTAACTCCTAACAAACTCTAACTAACTCTAACAGTTTCTAAGCTCCTAACCAATTCTATAACTAACTTCTTTTAATCCAACTAACTGCAAAACAGAATAGTGACAGCATAACTAACAAATATCCAAAACCATATCTCAACTAACCAATTTTCCATTTTTCCCAATAACCTCTCAAACCTTCTAACCACTTCTAACAGCATTACCCCAACCATATTCAGTAACCAATTCCTAACAACCCCTAACCAAATTCTAACCACCTAACAGAATCTCTAACACTGCATAACAGAATAACAGATCCAAACCAACTACCTCCTAACCAACTCATGGCTTATTTTACAACCAAAACTCCAGCATATACATAATAAAAAAAGACCACAGTCAGAAAATGGGGGAGGATTTTTATTTGACATTAAGAAAGAAACTCACCTTTACGATGATTCCTCCTTGACTTTTGAGAAGAATCACCAAGAAAATTCTGAAAAAAACCTCTTCACATCTTTATCACTCTCTCGCCTCCATAACTGTCTTCCTCTCTGCAACATCAAGAACGCAGTGATTCATACTTCAACCTTCAACGAATTGCAGCAACTCCTCTCTTTCAATCAACAACATCAAATCCACATCATCATCATCTTCATCACATTAATCATCACGGTCAACATCGATAGCGCACTTCAACAATATGCAACTCCGAATTCGTAACATCAACAACACCTGGCAACAAAAAATCACACAGAACCACACAACATTACAACATCGCAGAAAATCGAACGAAGAAGTAGAACAAGAATCGGACACGAAACACATACCGGAGCGTATTTCTCTGGATTTCTCGCCGCCACTGTTACGATTAAGAAGCCACCAGAGCTTCTCCGGTAGGTGAGTCCCCCTCACTTCAATAATTTTTTGTTTTCTGTTATTGTTTGTGTCGAAAGCGAATTGGAAGGTGAATCGGAGATGGCGCAAGAAGGTGGAATCAGACAAAGATTGATGAGAGGTGGTGAATGGTGTCGATACAGAGTGGAAGAGAAGACGGCGGAGGCTGAGACGGAGCAACGCGAGGACGAAGAGGCGGAGGCGCTGCCGCTGTTCTATTTGAGAAGAAGGACGAAACATTTTTTTCTCTAATCCTAACCCTTTTCCAATTTCATACGTTCTTTCTTTTTTAGTTTTTGTCTTATTGTTTTATTTACTTAATTCAAATTAATAATAATAATAACTAAGTAAATAATAAATAAAATGTTGAAAATGCTTATTGGACTCACTCTTGTTGGGCCTGGTGCCATTTTAATTTTTGCTTGCAGCATACCCTGAATTCAACTTGTACCCCCTGACTCTTCTAATTTTTCTTTTTTATTATTTTAGTTTCTTCTAGTTTATTGTTTCTCTCAATTGATAATAAAATTATGCAAAACAATAGGATATTTTAGAATTCTTTAGAATTTCTTTTTAGAATTTCGATTAGAAAATTTTTATTTCATATTCGATAATCATTTTTATTGCCATTTTCTAGTCAAGATTTTTGTAGCATCGACATAACTCTTGCAATATGGAATATTTGGAGATTAATCTTCAATCACTTGCCCAAGGGAACTTTGATAGAATTTTCTTACCGCTTGCACAATTTTGAAGAGGCGACAGACCTTCTCCGTTCGGTATCGTCACAACTCTATTTTTACTCCTGCACTTTACCACTTTCTAGGTAGAATTCCCTCAAGATTCTAACTTTAGGTCTAATGCACGATAACATTAGATTTAGAAATAGGCTAGTCTTCCTGTGACCTTCATCTTCCTGTGACTTTCGTCTTCCTGTGACCTTCGTCTTCCTGTGACTTTCGTCTTCCTGTGACTTTCGTCTTCCTGTGACCTTCGTCTTCCTGTGACTTTCGTCTTCCTGTGACTTTCGTCCTCCTGTGACTTTCGTCTTCCTGTGACTTTCGTCTTCCTGTGACTTTCGTCTTCCTGTGACTCTCGTCTTCCTGTGACTCTCGTCTTCCTGTGACTTTCGTCTTCCTGTGACTTTCGTCTTCCTGTGACTTTCGTCTTCCTGTGACTTTCGTCTTCCTGTGACTCTCGTCTTCCTGTGACTTTCGTCTTCCTGTGACTTTCGTCTTCCTGTGACTTTCGTCTTCCTGTGACTTTCGTCTTCCTGTGACTTTCGTCTTCCTGTGACTTTCGTCTTCCTGTGACTTTCGTCTTCCTGTGACTTTCGTCTTCCTGTGACTTTCGTCTTCCTGTGACTCTCGTCTTCCTGTGACCTTCGTCTTCCTGTGACTTTCGTCTTCCTGTGACTTTCTTCTTCCTGTGACCTTTGTCTTCCTGTGACTTTCGTCTTCCTGTGACTTTCGTCCTCCTGTGACTTTCGTCTTCCTGTGACTCTCGTCTTCCTGTGACTTTCGTCTTCCTGTGACTCTCGTCTTCCTGTGACTCTCGTCTTCCTGTGACTTTCGTCTTCCTGTGACTTTCGTCTTCCTGTGACTTTCGACTTCCTGTGACTGTCGTCTTCCTGTGACTCTCGTCTTCCTGTGACTCTCGTCTTCCTGTGACTTTCGTCTTCCTGTGACTTTCGTCTTCCTGTGACTTTCGTCTTCCTGTGACTTTCGTCTTCCTGTGACTTTCGTCTTCCCGTGACTTTCGTCTTCCCGTGACTTTCGTCTTCCTGTGACTTTCGTCTTCCTGTGACTTTCGTCTTCCTGTGACTCTCGTCTTCCTGTGACTCTCGTCTTCCGGTGACTTTCGTCTTCCTGTGACTTTCGTCTTCCTGTGACTTTCGTCTTCCTGTGACTTTCGTCTTCCTGTGACTTTCGTCTTCCTGTGACTTTCGTCTTCCTGTGACTTTCGTCTTCCTGTGACTTTTGTCTTCCTGTGACTTTTGTCTTCCTGTGACTTTCTTTCCTCCTTTGCATATGCAGTTAAAACAAAAAAAAAACTTTTTTTTACAAACTTCAAAAATACATAAAAATTTACTGACAAAAACCATGTCTTGACTAAGTTTGAGAGATGATGAGCGGGTTTCTTCTCGACATTATTATTATCTTGTTCTAAGCTTTGGTATGATTCAAGTCTCAAAGACTCATTTCATGAATAAATAGAGAGATGGCTAAAATCTCTCTCTTGAGGTTAACTAGCTATTATCTACCAGCAAAAACACCAACAAACATAAAAATCTTTTTGCCCTCGGGCCTTTCTTTCAAACCCTTTTCAAAAGAGCGTATTAATTCACTTTTGTGCTGACGCGTAAGTCTCCAACGGTCGAGTTGCGGCAGAAGGCGAAATTAATATTGTTCAGTAAAAAATGCAAACAAACAAAAACATATAAGCCGAACTACGGCTGCTCTGATTCCTTAAAAGGGATACGTAGGCATCGGGGTAGGGCCCGAACGAGCACAATTTTATTTTCCCTACATTCTTTTCTCCTTTATTTTGCATGCATTCTACTTTTAGCAGTAATAAACAGTAAGCATAGATTAAACACACCCATAAGATAGACAACAAGAGTGGATACCGTAGAGTACTACGGGCGTGTGGGGTGCTAATACCTTCCCCTCGCGTAACAGACTCCCTTACCCTTATCTCTTGGTCGTTCGACCTTGATTTCATCCTTCTCGGGTTTTCTCGATGTTTACCTTTCCCTTCATGTGGGATAAAATACGTTCAATGGCGACTTCATTGTTTGATGATTTTCAGCCGGTTGTTTCAGCTGGCGACTTCACTGGGGAAAGGTCTACCAAATGTTGGTCCATCCCGGAGTCGCTCCTAGCTCTTGCTTTCTTTTCTTTGGGTGTCTATTTTTATGCTTTCAGTTTACTCATTTGTACATGTTTTCCTGAGCATAAGTTTGCATTGCATTTTATTGCTTTCCCTATTAGTTATCTATTATGTTGGACTCTGTTTTCCATGTTGGGTGGGGATGTCACTATTGAGGTAAAAGGCCCAGTACCCAGGCCAGAGTGCACTAGGACACCTAGGAATAGAGTGGGGGCATGAAGGCTATAGGACATGGTCCGATTAGTGCAGTCATGTCATATACCATGCTCGGATGAGGTTCAATTGAAAGTATTTTCATCATGCACGTCTGTGTTGCGATGATTTTACTTTCAGGCGGACCCGTGATTTTCGAGTTACCATTATCTCACCCTGACCTAGTCTTCACACGTGAGTGGGGAGGGATTTATCATTACAGGTACAGTTGGTGACTATGTTCAAATGGTTACTCGTGCTCAGTTGGTGACTATGTTCAAATGGTTACTCGTGCTCAGTTGGTGACTATGTTCTGATAGCGACTGTTGTTCTGTTGGTGACTATATGGGTCTCAGATTTATGTATTTTTTTTCTGGATTCGGTATTCAGGAT